TACCTCATACTCCTCTTCCACGCCTGCCTCCCCTCGCCGTTCCACACTCTCTCCCCTTCGCTTCCTCCGGTCTTCAGCGCGTTTATGGATTGTGTCTGTATTTGGGAGACGCTCAGCGCGAGAAACACAAACTAAACAAAGGACCGCTCATGCCTGTTAGCAGAAGCCGACATAGTGTCGAAAAGAAGAAAAAAAAAAGGTACAAGGTAAGAGAATATCCAAGCAGCTCAACAAATGTATGCTTAATTCTAGTGCGAAAACGCAGCATATAATAAAACCGTTTAGATAACCAGTCATCGATTAGATTCAATCGTACGAAGTACTCTTTATTGCGTGCAACGTCCACGCTTGCATCGGTGACTTCGAGTCGCACTTCCTCGCCGATGCTCCTTTTTAATGTATTTTTATCAGTAATGTAAGCCACGCTCATTCCTTGCCTTCTATCTAGTAGATATAAAACAATAATACGAATAAAATGAAAGACTGGGTATCATCCAGTGGCCAAATAGATCAGAACATCGCATACGGAAAAATCGTGAATACTGAGGAATATAAGACACAACGGATATAAATACCGGGTGTTCAATTTTAATTCCAACAGATTTATTAAAAAAAAGAAAAAAACATTCGTAAAATATGCACAAATACGGTTTGTGCAGGAGAGTTATTCGGCCAGGGGACGTTATGCTGGTGAATAATATTTGCGATAAGTCGACTAATTCATTGAAATTCTTTTGTTAACTTTTTAATTGGTAAATATAGACATATGGTTTCAATTAAAAACTCAGCGTCATCGAGATCCACTAAATCAACTGGTTTTAGAACGACTTGAAGCTCGTAGGAAAGTCGGGTGCGTAGCAACGTTACCACTCATGCAGCAAGCGCAAAGCTCGCAGTGGCAAGCCGCGGATGATTTGATTCCCAGCGCGTTCCACTACTGGTAGCTTTGCGCTGCTGCAGATGGGACAACTTTGGTGCGTTCCCGATTTTCCTACGAGCTACAAGTCGTTCTAAAAAGAGTTGTAATAGTGGTTCTCGGTGACGCTCAGTACGTTTCTAATTTGATCGATATGTCTATGTTCACTAATTAAAAGCTAATTAACGAATTCGAATTAGCTGAGTTATCACAAAGATTAGTCATTCATATAATGTCCCGTTGACCGTAGAACTTACCTGCACAAACCGTATAAGTGCATATTTTAGGAATGTTTTTTTTTTTATTAAATCAGTTCGAATTGAAATAGAATATATATATATATATATATAAAACTGAGAAGAAAAAAACCCTTAGTGAAAACAGCAACAACGGACGATTTAATCTTCGACGTTTCGGCCGGAGTCCGGCCTTCGTCAGGAAGAACTTTTACAGATGAACGCGGGTGGTATTTATACAATGCTACGGTCGAGTCCAAATTTCGGAGGGGTGACGGTTGAAGCTTTCGAGAGCGGGAAGCGTAGGGCAGTTCTTATCCGGGTGAAGAAGCTTGACGGTCGGTGCCAAGTTTCAAGGACGGCGGGATGACGGTTGTAGCTTCTTGAGAGGGGGCGCAGGGTGACTTTGCGTCCGGGCCGGCAGCGGTGACCTATATAGACGATAGCGTACAATAGACGAAAGTTACAAACGCAAACTAAAGTGCTGTCTCAAAAAAAAAAAAAAAAAAAAAAAAAGGCGGCACGGTCATTTGTGTGCATGCAGGCATGCATGAGTCAAACCTGGAAGGGAACAATGTTAAACCTAGAAGTAAAAAGAAATACAATAGATATCAGAACCTGGAAATAAAAGAAAAGTTGATGGTCCAGTTCCGGCCCCAAACACAGTACCACTGTTAACAACAAATCTACAAAAAAACAAAAAAAAATGTTTTTGGATTGCTGTTGCTATTCGTCTGTTAGCATTTTAATCGATGCCAGAGTACCGGGGCTTTCATTTATTCCTTGTTTAATAGTGTTAAATCGGTAAATTAGGTAGGATTCACGCTGTTCACGTTCGCGATTTGATTTAAATCCAGATTCTTGGAGCGTCACTGACAATTTATCAAAAGAATGTTTTGGGAGAGCGAGATGTTTGGATAAAGGCAGTGCCGGAAGATTTATGGCGTGAGATTTGTGATTATTAAAGCGCAGTCTAAATGCCGTTCTAGTCTGCCCTATGTATTGCATTTTGCATACCGTACACTCGAATAAGTAAATGACATTCGACGAGGCACATGTTAAGTTCCCTTTAATTTTGATCGAGAACTGCGAGTGCGTGCTGCTGGCCGTGCTTCTGTGCTGCATCTGTTTACAGATTAGACATCCTGGGTGCCTGCAAGGCCTACATTCGTTAGGTGGTGGCGATGAATTTATCCGAGAGTTTACTAGCGCGTCTTTGAGGTTACGCGATCGTCTGTGGACTACCCCCGGGGCGGATGGAAACGCGCGTTTAAGGCGCTCGCTTTGTTCGAGAATGTTATAATGTCGTCTCAAGACATTATTTACATTAGGATGGTTTATGCTATAAGTTAGACATAGATTTGTGCGTTGTGTGGCGCTTTGCGTGGGGCGCGGGCTGATGAGGTCTGCGCGGTTCAGTTGTTTGGCTTTTCTGATTGCATCGTCGATTATACGGGGTGGATACTTTTGTTTCTCTAGCACTGACTTTAAATTTTGACTGCTCGCATCAAAATCTGTCTCTTTTGAACAAATTCATTTGAAACGATGAGCTTGGCTATAGGGAATGCTGTTCTTGCAATGGTGTGGGTGGTCGCTTTGATAATGAAGGTATTGCTGCCGATCTGTTGGTTTACGGTACAGGCTCGTGGCGAGTTTACTTTCGTCTATCTTAACGTTGACGTCTAGGAAGTTTATTTCGGTTTGAGAGTACGAATGTGTAAAGCGGATGCTCGGATGAGCAGCATTGTATCGACCTATGAAGTCCACCAGCTCCTCCTCAGTGTGCGACCATACAATAAATATATCATCTATAAACCTTTTGTATATTAGCGGCTTTACGGGACATTCAGAAAGGAACTGAGATTCTAATTTGCCCATGAATATGTTGGCATAGTTCGGGGCCATTTTGGTGCCCATCGCGGTTCCGCTAACCTGCCTAAAGTATTTATTGTTAAATTCGAAGGTGTTTAGTTCTAAGACAAGCCTCGCTAGAGTAGCGACGACGTGTCCATCTGGGGTATCCGGTTGTTTGTGGAGTTCGTACATGTCAATTAAAGAGAGTATTCCATCATCATGTGGAATATTCGTATACAGCGATGACACATCGAGTGTAACGAGATATGATTCTTTTGGTATGCATAAATTTGATATTTCTCTTAAGAAGTGAGTTGTGTCTTTAATGTACGAATCAAGAATTGTAGGTATATGTTTAATTAAACTGTCTACATATCCTGATATGGGTTCGGTTACTGTACCTATTCCGGATATGATTGGACGCCCTGGGTTACCAGGTTTGTGAATCTTAGGGAGCATGTAGAAGCGGCCCGGAGAAGGCTGTACCGGTTTCATTAATTTATGTTCGTTAGCAGTTATTCTGCCCTCGTCTAGGAGATCCTTAAGAACCGAGGTCACAATCTGAGTGTGGTGCACCGTAGGGTCATCCGCGAGAGGTTCATAAAACTTTGAGTCATTTAGTTGGCGGTTTCCTTCTCGGATGTATTCAGAAGTGCTAAGAATCACAATTGCTCCTCCTATATCGGCTGGTTTTATTGCTATGTCTGTCCTATTGCTCAGGGTTTTTAAGCTAGCCCGTTCGGATTTAGTGAGGTTATCCCGTCTTCCCGCCTGCCTGCGATATTCCCGCATTATGTCTTTTTGCACAGCGGCTATGTATAAGTCAAGACAATCATCACGGTTAGCTTTTGGCGTCCAGTCGCTCGTTGCACGCTGCTGAGAGGTGTTAGAGCTAGAAGTTTTGTCCAAGAAGTATTCCCGCAATCTTAAATTTCGAGCAAAGTTGTCGAGGTCGCGTAGTAATTGAAATTCGTCAACAAAACCTGTGGCGGGACAGAAATTTAATCCCCTCGAAAGGAGTCTTTCCTCTTCTGCTGATATAGTCACGCCAGATAGATTAACAATTGTAGTGCCACAAGGGGCACGAGTGCTTGACCTATCGTCTGTTATGCTAATGGCCGGTTGAGTATGTTCGTTATAGTTAAATGATGTCGTGAGCTGAGGTAAAACAGGGTTAGGAACCTTATCGCGCTGTAGCTTACGTAGCTTGATTGTTGCGAGGTCATGGTGTTTCTTTTTATCAAATTCAGATAGGGCGCTAATTTCGGATGTCGATAAGGGGCCATTTGAACGGAGAAGTGTAGCGGTCGCGGTCATTAACTGTTTCACTTGTTTGTCACTATGCTGAATCGCTATTTGGACCAGTTTAAGGGAACCTTCAAGGAGAACTTGTTGCCATTCCGATCGGTCATGTTGGTCGAGGTTTGTGCAGGCGGGAGGAAGGGAAAGCGACATGCCCTTCGGGGTAATGCCTGCGTTAAGGTACACTAGCAAGGTTGATTTATGGAGTTCGTGCCTAATGCGTTTATCTGAGAGCTTTCGTACTTTAAGAAAAGTGGTACTGTAGTTTGGAGTGGAGGAACTGGACTCACCGAACTGTCGTCATTCGTCTTTCTTCGGGTACGGGGAGCTCTCCACGGCGGGCTTTCGCAGGTTGTAGCGCTGTCTTGGGGTACTTCTCGGCTGCTGCGGGCGTTGCATTGGTGCCACACTCTCGGCAGGTGTCGGGTACTCATCGACGTAGTTGACGCTCTCGCTGGCTGCCGGGCACGGTGCTCGCGGGGTCCGCACAGGGGCAGCTGGGCTCTCGATGCTCTTGCTGGCTGCCGGGCACGGTGCTCCCGCGATCCCCACAGGGGCAGCTGGGCTCTCTGGACTGGCGTTGTGGGACCTGGGACTCTCGGGGCGCCTGGGTTCCTCTGATGGTGCTCTCCTGGTGCAGTTGGCGCTGGCGGTGGTGGGGATCTCCGATGACCACCCTGGCGACGTCGTACTTGCTCCACGTTGCAAGGTAGACTTCAGGTTTGCCGCGAGGAGGGCGACTCCCGTGAAGCTCGGGTGCAGCCCGTCAGCCGCCAGGACTCGAAGAGGCGGCAGCGACGTGAAGTCGTGGTCCAGGAAGGTCACCTTGCCTGGTTTCCTGCAGTAGCCCTTGACAGTGTTGTTGAACTTCCGGGCTTCGGTGTTGAACCAGTGGACGAAGCGGTGGTTCGACTGATCCAGGCGTCGATTGGTGTGCCGAGGCAACACGAGGGACACAATAAGCCTGTGGAGCTCCGGACGTGCTCGCAGCGTGTTGTTGACCAGGCGACAGCACCGTCGTAGCGTCTCGTCGGTGCCGTATCGTTCCAGCTCGGTCGTCCCTACGTGAAAGACGAGCGTCTTGACAGAACGTGGGAGGTTGGCGAGCTCCTTCTCGATGTCGAAGGTGGATGCGCCACGGATGGTGATGAAGGCGGGTGCGGCTCTATCGTAGGGGTCGAAGTGCTGGTGGAGATATCGGGTCTGCGAGTTCCCGATGACAGCGGAGGTCGGCAGGTGCTTGGGGTACATCCGTGTTAGCTGCTCCACCTTGGGTGCGCCGGGGGCCGGTCTGGAAACAACGGGCATGGTGGCGGGAGGCCGAAGGCGTGGGTATAAAACTGAGAAGAAAAAAACCCTTAGTGAAAACAGCAACAACGGACGATTTAATCTTCGACGTTTCGGCCGGAGTCCGGCCTTCGTCAGGAAGAACTTTTACAGATGAACGCGGGTGGTATTTATACAATGCTACGGTCGAGTCCAAATTTCGGAGGGGTGACGGTTGAAGCTTTCGAGAGAGGGAAGCGTAGGGCAGTTCTTATCCGGGTGAAGAAGCTTGACGGTCGGTGCCAAGTTTCAAGGACGGCGGGATGACGGTTGTAGCTTCTTGAGAGGGGGCGCAGGGTGACTTTGCGTCCGGGCCGGCAGCGGTGACCTATATAGACGATAGCGTACAATAGACGAAAGTTACAAACGCAAACTAAAGTGCTGTCTCAAAAAAAAAAAAAAAAGGCGGCACGGTCACTTGTGTGCATGCAGGCATGCATGAGTCAAACCTGGAAGGGAACAATGTTAAACCTAGAAGTAAAAAGAAATACAATAGATATCAGAACCTGGAAATAAAAGAAAAGTTGATGGTCCAGTTCCGGCCCCAAACACAGTACCACTGTTAACAACAAATCTACAAAAAAACAAAAAAAATGTTTTTGGATTGCTGTTGCTATTCGTCTGTTAGCATTTTAATCGATGCCAGAGTACCGGGGCTTTCATTTATTCCTTGTTTAATAGTGTTAAATCGGTAAATTAGGCAGGATTCACGCTGTTCACGTTCGCGATTTGATTTAAATCCAGATTCTAGGAGCGTCACTGACAATTTATCAAAAGAATGTTTTGGGAGAGCGAAATGTTTGGATAAAGGCAGTGCCGGAAGATTTATGGCGTGAGATTTGTGATTATTAAAGCGCAGTCTAAATGCCGTTCTAGTCTGCCCTATGTATTGCATTTTGCATACCGTACACTCGAATAAGTAAATGACATTCGACGAGGCACATATTAAGTTCCCTTTAACTTTGATCGAGAACTGCGAGTGCGTGCTGCTGGCCGTGCTTCTGTGCTGCATCTGTTTACAGATTAGACATCCTGGGTGCCTGCAAGGCCTACATTCGTTAGGTGGTGGCGATGAATTTATCCGAGAGTTTACTAGCGCGTCTTTGAGGTTACGCGATCGTCTGTGGACTACCCCCGGGGCGGATGGAAACGCGCGTTTAAGGCGCTCGCTTTGTTCGAGAATGTTATAATGTCGTCTCAAGACATTATTTACATTAGGATGGTTTATGCTATAAGTTAGACATAGATTTGTGCGTTGTGTGGCGCTTTGCGTGGGGCGCGGGCTGATGAGGTCTGCGCGGTTCAGTTGTTTGGCTTTTCTGATTGCATCGTCGATTATACGGGGTGGATACTTTTGTTTCTCTAGCACTGACTTTAAATTTTGACTGCTCGCATCAAAATCTGTCTCTTTTGAACAAATTCGTTTGAAACGATGAGCTTGGCTATAGGGAATGCTGTTCTTGCAATGGTGTGGGTGGTCGCTTTGATAATGAAGGTATTGCTGCCGATCTGTTGGTTTACGGTACAGGCTCGTGGCGAGTTTACTTTCGTCTATCTTAACGTTGACGTCTAGGAAGTTTATTTCGGTTTGAGAGTACGAATGTGTAAAGCGGATGCTCGGATGAGCAGCATTGTATCGACCTATGAAGTCCACCAGCTCCTCCTCAGTGTGCGACCATACAATAAATATATCATCTATAAACCTTTTGTATATTAGCGGCTTTACGGGACATTCAGAAAGGAACTGAGATTCTAATTTGCCCATGAATATGTTGGCATAGTTCGGGGCCATTTTGGTGCCCATCGCGGTTCCGCTAACCTGCCTAAAGTATTTATTGTTAAATTCGAAGGTGTTTAGTTCTAAGACAAGCCTCGCTAGAGTAGCGACGACGTGTCCATCTGGGGTATCCGGTTGTTTGTGGAGTTCGTACATGTCAATTAAAGAGAGTATTCCATCATCATGTGGAATATTCGTATACAGCGATGACACATCGAGTGTAACGAGATATGATTCTTTTGGTATGCATAAATTTGATATTTCTCTTAAGAAGTGAGTTGTGTCTTTAATGTACGAATCAAGAATTGTAGGTATATGTTTAATTAAACTGTCTACATATCCTGATATGGGTTCGGTTACTGTACCTATTCCGGATATGATTGGACGCCCTGGGTTACCAGGTTTGTGAATCTTAGGGAGCATGTAGAAGCGGCCCGGAGAAGGCTGTACCGGTTTCATTAATTTATGTTCGTTAGCAGTTATTCTGCCCTCGTCTAGGAGATCCTTAAGAACCGAGGTCACAATCTGAGTGTGGTGCACCGTAGGGTCATCCGCGAGAGGTTCATAAAACTTTGAGTCATTTAGTTGGCGGTTTCCTTCTCGGATGTATTCAGAAGTGCTAAGAATCACAATTGCTCCTCCTTTATCGGCTGGTTTTATTGCTATGTCTGTCCTATTGCTCAGGGTTTTTAAGCTAGCCCGTTCGGATTTAGTGAGGTTATCCCGTCTTCCCGCCTGCCTGCGATATTCCCGCATTATGTCTTTTTGCACAGCGGCTATGTATAAGTCAAGACAATCATCACGGTTAGCTTTTGGCGTCCAGTCGCTCGTTGCACGCTGCTGAGAGGTGTTAGAGCTAGAAGTTTTGTCCAAGAAGTATTCCCGCAATCTTAAATTTCGAGCAAAGTTGTCGAGGTCGCGTAATAATTGAAATTCGTCAACAAAACCTGTGGCGGGACAGAAATTTAATCCCCTCGAAAGGAGTCTTTCCTCTTCTGCTGATATAGTCACGCCAGATAGATTAACAATTGTAGTGCCACAAGGGGCACGAGTGCTTGACCTATCGTCTGTTATGCTAATGGCCGGTTGAGTATGTTCGTTATAGTTAAATGATGTCGTGAGCTGAGGTAAAACAGGGTTAGGAACCTTATCGCGCTGTAGCTTACGTAGCTTGATTGTTGCGAGGTCATGGTGTTTCTTTTTATCAAATTCAGATAGGGCGCTAATTTCGGATGTCGATAAGGGGCCATTTGAACGGAGAAGTGTAGCGGTCGCGGTCATTAACTGTTTCACTTGTTTGTCACTATGCTGAATCGCTAATTGGACCAGTTTAAGGGAACCTTCAAGGAGAACTTGTTGCCATTCCGATCGGTCATGTTGGTCGAGGTTTGTGCAGGCGGGAGGAAGGGAAAGCGACATGCCCTTCGGGGTAATGCCTGCGTTAAGGTACACTAGCAAGGTTGATTTATGGAGTTCGTGCCTAATGCGTTTATCTGAGAGCTTTCGTACTTTAAGAAAAGTGGTACTGTAGTTTGGAGTGGAGGAACTGGACTCACCGAACTGTCGTCATTCGTCTTTCTTCGGGTGCGGGGAGCTCTCCACGGCGGGCTTTCGCAGGTTGTAGCGCTGTCTTGGGGTACTTCTCGGCCGCTGCGGGCGTTGCATTGGTGCCACACTCTCGGCAGGTGTCGGGTACTCATCGACGTAGTTGACGCTCTCGCTGGCTGCCGGGCACGGTGCTCGCGGGGTCCGCACAGGGGCAGCTGGGCTCTCGATGCTCTCGCTGGCTGCCGGGCACGGTGCTCCCGCGATCCCCACAGGGGCAGCTGGGCTCTCTGGACTGGCGTTGTGGGACCTGGGACTCTCGGGGCGCCTGGGTTCCTCTGATGGGGCTCTCCTGGTGCAGTTGGCGCTGGCGGCGGTGGGGATCTCCGATGACCACCCTGGCGACGTCGTACTTGCTCCACGTTGCAAGGTAGACTTCAGGTTTGCCGCGAGGAGGGCGACTCCCGTGAAGCTCGGGTGCAGCCCGTCAGCCGCCAGGACTCGAAGAGGCGGCAGCGACGTGAAGTCGTGGTCCAGGAAGGTCACCTTGCCTGGTTTCCTGCAGTAGCCCTTGACAGTGTTGTTGAACTTCCGGGCTTCGGTGTTGAACCAGTGGACGAAGCGGTGGTTCGACTGATCCAGGCGTCGATTGGTGTGCCGAGGCAACACGAGGGACACAATAAGCCTGTGGAGCTCCGGACGTGCTCGCAGCGTGTTGTTGACCAGGCGACAGCACCGTCGTAGCGTCTCGTCGGTGCCGTATCGTTCCAGCTCGGTCGTCCCTACGTGAAAGACGAGCGTCTTGACAGAACGTGGGAGGTTGGCGAGCTCCTTCTCGATGTCGAAGGTGGATGCGCCATGGATGGTGATGAAGGCGGGTGCGGCTCTATCGTAGGGGTCGAAGTGCTGGTGGAGATATCGGGTCTGCGAGTTCCCGATGACAGCGGAGGTCGGCAGGTGCTTGGGGTACATCCGTGTTAGCTGCTCCACCTTGGGTGCGCCGGGGGCCGGTCTGGAAACAACGGGCATGGTGGCGGGAGGCCGAAGGCGTGGGTATAAAACTGAGAAGAAAAAAACCCTTAGTGAAAACAGCAACAACGGACGATTTAATCTTCGACGTTTCGGCCGGAGTCCGGCCTTCGTCAGGAAGAACTTTTACAGATGAACGCGGGTGGTATTTATACAATGCTACGGTCGAGTCCAAATTTCGGAGGGGTGACGGTTGAAGCTTTCGAGAGAGGGAAGCGTAGGGCAGTTCTTATCCGGGTGAAGAAGCTTGACGGTCGGTGCCAAGTTTCAAGGACGGCGGGATGACGGTTGTAGCTTCTTGAGAGGGGGCGCAGGGTGACTTTGCGTCCGGGCCGGCAGCGGTGACCTATATAGACGATAGCGTACAATAGACGAAAGTTACAAACGCAAACTAAAGTGCTGTCTCAAAAAAAAAAAAAAAAAAAAAAAAAGGCGGCACGGTCACTTGTGTGCATGCAGGCATGCATGAGTCAAACCTGGAAGGGAACAATGTTAAACCTAGAAGTAAAAAGAAATACAATAGATATCAGAACCTGGAAATAAAAGAAAAGTTGATGGTCCAGTTCCGGCCCCAAACACAGTACCACTGTTAACAACAAATCTACAAAAAAACAAAAAAAATGTTTTTGGATTGCTGTTGCTATTCGTCTGTTAGCATTTTAATCGATGCCAGAGTACCGGGGCTTTCATTTATTCCTTGTTTAATAGTGTTAAATCGGTAAATTAGGTAGGATTCACGCTGTTCACGTTCGCGATTTGATTTAAATCCAGATTCTAGGAGCGTCACTGACAATTTATCAAAAGAATGTTTTGGGAGAGCGAGATGTTTGGATAAAGGCAGTGCCGGAAGATTTATGGCGTGAGATTTGTGATTATTAAAGCGCAGTCTAAATGCCGTTCTAGTCTGCCCTATGTATTGCATTTTGCATACCGTACACTCGAATAAGTAAATGACATTCGACGAGGCACATGTTAAGTTCCCTTTAATTTTGATCGAGAACTGCGAGTGCGTGCTGCTGGCCGTGCTTCTGTGCTGCATCTGTTTACAGATTAGACATCCTGGGTGCCTGCAAGGCCTACATTCGTTAGGTGGTGGCGATTTTATCGCCACCACCTAACGAATGTTGCGGGGACACTCATGCAGGTCCCCGCAACTTGGTATAGGTCTGTTTGGGCTTGCCCAAAAAGACCTATACCAAGTTTTGCAGGAATAAAGCACCGCTACACTGGATGCGTGTGTGTATCGATATCATAGTTGTTTTAGCTTGACTTTTCATATGTAATGTTCGAACTACTTCCTTTTTACTTATGTTTTTCCTCGTTTAAACGTTTAGATAATTAATTCAAATAATAAAGATTGTATATCAAAGAAACCTATAACAACTCAGTACAACCATTCGCGCGGAAGGTTTGCCTGGATCTTAAGTGCGTCTCACATAAATATTAAGATTGTGTTCTTGGTTAGTGCCGTCGTGATGTCTCAGAAATGAAGCCTAATCGATGTCGTTTCTGGTAGTAGAAATAAAAACTTGAGGAGCTTTCAACGATTAACTAATGCCAGCTAAGGTATCCTAAAAAAATACTAACGGTAGATTTTTGAGGCGAACAGTACGCGAAAAGCAATCATACGTGGCGTCTCAAAACTGCCTCGTGCTTACTCGATGACGTCAGACCTAGCGTTGCAGAAGCGGGTTGTTTACTCCTAAGTAATTACTCGCGCTGTCCTCCTCGATCGGTGGGTAACGTCGCATCAAATCGAGTAAATATGTCACGTGATCTGTTCGCCGTCTGCTCGCCTTCTGCTTTCTACGCCCACAGCCGTCGAAGCTCGCTTGCTCCGTTGAGTTTGGTGGCACCCATTCGAAATGACAAAGAATGAGGTGCAGCCATTTCTGTGTGATTATCGCGAATTTCTGTTTTCAACGCACGCATTACGTCCAGACTGTGCACCTTCCGCAGGAACGTATATCTGTTTTCGTTATCAGAGATCAGAGTAATAAGTTATCAGATTATCAGAGTAATAAGAAGATAACGCTTGTAAAACAGTGAACGCTTCGAATATTTCATGTAAATGACCAGTCAGCAACCCCACCCCGTCCCCCTCCCCAAGAATTATAGTAGTTTGGACGTTTTTCTGTGATTTTGTAATCATGTTCGGATAAGTGAACGCTACTTATATATTACTGTTGCGAAAGCCCCCTTCGCTGTACCGCTACACCATGTGAAGCAATTCCCGCAAATCGGCGTAAATTGCGATGCGCGAAACGTACCTTTAGGGCACCTGGACTAGACTTATAACGATTCTTCTGATTGATACAGACATATTTTGGATGTCTACCTGAAAGGATTAAGTAATTTTGATCTCAATATACAGCCCAAAAGCAGGAAAGTGATCAAAACGAGCTGGTGGAGCCACCTAAAAAACACAGCATCCTAACTGACAAAAAAAAAAAAAAAAAGCTTCGAGTGCTTTCTGAATAACGGTTTATAGTTGTGCGTGTTGGTAGATACTTGTAAATATACCAGCTTGAGCTTGAGAATAATACTTGAGCGCGAAGAAAGAAAGGACAGGAGATGATAAACTACTGACTACCAACGATGCTTTAGTTCAAACCTCTTCCTTGCGCGTTTGCTTTTTCATTCAGAGGCCAACGTAGAGCACGATAAACGTATTAAATAGGTAAACCTAAATCACTAATCCAAATTACTACTGATATTTACCGTTATCAAAAATTATACTAAAAATAACACAAAAATGCCTAAAAAATATTTATTTTTAACTAACCCGCCTAAGCTCGTGTTGTTGTTTTACGGGGCGTGACATTTCGTAGGTATTTCCTCTCTTTTTCGTGAACGGTGATAGACGGGGTGCTCCCGCAATCTTCCGCCTGTTCCTCAATCGCCTCGCGTGCATGAGGATAGTTGTTACTGGCAAGAGCTGTTGTGGTGTTATCACGACAGAGCCCGCGAGCGTGCAGCATCTCTGAAGGGCACAGCGGCAGATCATGCCAGTGCAAGTGCAGCTTTTAACACCACAACCATCATTGCCAATAACAACAATCCTCATGCACGCGAGATGCTCAACGCACACGCTATCGAGCAAAAGAAATCGTCTGCTATTTTCCGCCATCGCCGCTCTATTCTTTTTCACGCATCCCAAAGCGAAGCCAATCCGCGTAGCATTTTGGTGTATCCAGGTAATTATTCCGGCCGTCGAAAAGTCTAGTCGCGGACGTTTTACTCCTGATGTCACGTGGTATTACCCTTTGACGTAGGACACAGGTTAATCGAATAAGATTTGGAACATTGCCATAGTTCAGCGTCGTAGGAGGGGGAGGAAAAAACTTTATTGAAGCCAAAATGGGACACGGTTCGATTGGAGACCCCAGTCCAGCGCCTGGTGTTTTCTGCCGCCATCCTCTCCCTCTCCACCAGGTCGCGATGGTCTTGAGCAGATGAACCGAGCAGCGGAGCTTCCCGTGTTTCGTAACTGGAAAAACATCTCCCTAACAGGCATATTCATGACCTATAATACCAGCAAGCAGAGGCTATGCTCTAAAAATATATCATGCGAATCTGCTTAACCGGAGAAAAATAATAATCTCCAGATGAAATTCGGCTAATGGCAAGGTCAAGACGACGTATCTGGCCTGAGCCACTTTCTTGGACGAGACGGTAGCGCATGACATTTCTTGTGCTTTTTCAAAACCCAAGCTTAATTTTTATGTGATTTTTCTGCTTTCCTTATTGTTTGTCGAGCTCCTTCAGTGGAGCGCATACATTGGCTCCAAAGTATTTTCTTAGAACGTTATAATTTTACACGACATTGTGTCACATGCCGTAATAGTGTCATGGGGAAACGTGTCTTCAAGTGGCCAAATGTCAAAGGCAGTCCTTGTCACGTGGTTTCTGATGTACGCTTTTTTCGTGAGTTACATGCTTTTCAGAATCACCTTCCGAGCAAAAAACTGATTCTTCATAAAAATGTGCAGTTAAAGGCCATCTGCGTTCAAAACCAAAATGACCTACCAAATGCCCTTAAGTGACACGAGCATTTATCACAGCCGACATATTACGTCGAAGTGAAGCAGCGTTTTTAATTAAAACCGATTTTAAAGTTGTGACCAACCGCTCTTTAACTAGCGGCAATCGGCTTGGCGTTTATTCAAGCAACACTGGGTGACGCGTACAGCAGCAACCCGTGACGTCATGTCGCGGTGATGCTGCAGTTGATTCGGCACGTTGTACCACTTGCTGGAGCACGTGCACGGTGACGTTACGTCGCGGCCGTACAGCTGATGATCAGTTTACTGAGTGCTGCCAAAGCGGCGGTTTGTGCTAGAAAGGCCGAAATAAAAGCTACACGTCAACTGCGTTATTTTTATTTTTTTTACAAAGTTTTGGTATGTGTGCGATGCCTTAATCGTAACTACAACATACAGTGTAGATTTGATTTTCATTCTTAAATATGTACGTAAATCATAAAATATATCAGTGTTTTACACCACCCTAAAGTCCGTGCGTGGGTACCGTGTCGCGGTTGAATCGCAAAATAAATCGTTGCGATTGTTGTTGCTCTAATCTTTTAATCCAACTATAGTCCGTTTTATTGTACGATAGACTGCAGAGCACGTTACGAGTCATCTAACTCCCTCCAATGCCATGCGAGTGTCACGTGAACCCTTGAAGAGACTTACCGAAGTCGTCTGACGCGTTGATAGCGCAGCATTGGCTGGAACGGCTGGTACCATCCACTGCCATCCATTGTAACTTGAAACGGAGCTAATCTGCACCATTTTCTGGAAAACATACGGTCTCGGTAGAGAAGTGTGACCAGCAGTATAATACTGAGATTGCACTGTTTTCGAGGCACAATACCGCGCTGTCTTTTAGTGGCTACAGTTATAGCAGGATAATAAATGTTCGTCATTACCTGTCTGTTCAAACTTAACAGACGAGGAGTAATGCACAAATCACATGCATAGGATATGTTGGTTTGA